CTTACACACACACACACACACACACACACACACACACACACACACTCAGTAGGGGGAAGAAAAAGTCTCCATCTTGCAATCCAGCGCAACCTTGAATTTGGCAGCCAGTCTCCTCGCACACATCCCCTGGACCACAAACACAGACACTATTGCACATCATGGCTCTTGTGGGAGTGATTTCACTGTTCTCATTAAAGATGAATCCTTGCAACACAGATCCAGAAATGACCTATGTCCCCAGAACTCCACCAGCCCATGGACACTGCAGCATCTGCTTCCTTCCCTGGATTTTGAACAAACACCCCAAGGACTCACTAGCACACACTCTAGGCCCGAAGAAGTGACAGATTCCTTATTTGTGTAACAGGGATCACATGTGACATCCCAAAACTCATTTGATTCTCTCGGTGAGGTATTCTTCTCATTATTTATATTCTTTAGACAAGGGATCAGAGGCAAAGGGAGTTTTAGTAACTTGTTCAAGGTGAAGCAGTAGGGAGGGAGCAGAACCAAGACTGGAACCAGTAATTCAGTTTGAGATGTAAGAAAACAAAAGATAGTGACCGAGAAATGTTCGCCAAATGGCTCGAATTGAATCCAGAGACTACAGGAACCCAGGTAGGAATCCCAAAGTGGCCACACTCAAGGGATCTGCACAGGAAGGCTCAAAAGGCTCCTCATCAAGGCTTTGGGCTTCATCTACAAGATGGACCTGCAGCAGAGGTGCCGTGGCAGGCTGTAACCTAAGGTTATTCTACAACCTTGCTGTAGCCCCATGGCGAGCAAGGTCCACTTCCTTTTCTTGAATCTAGGTGGGCTGCTGATTTGTGTATAAGCATAAGTGACGGGGCTTGATTCTGAAGCCATCCTGTACAATGTGGCACAGCTCCGACCTGTCATCTGGGGTCTTCCCCCCGGGCTCTGAGCTCCTCTTCAGTAGACAGTGGATGGCACTGATGGAGACTCAGTTCAGCCACAGTCACGAGGGTGTCTCTGCGTGTCCATTACTTTGGTGTCGTGGTAACAAAAACACCCGACGGAAACAGCAGCAGTATTTATTCTGGCTCATGGTTTCAGTCCATGGTTGCTTGTCCCATCTGCTTAGGGACAACACCATGAACAGTGGGAGCCTGTGGTGGGGGACGTTCCTCTCATGCCCGATAGAATGTAGGGAGATGGGGATAGGAAACAGACCAGGGATGATGCCTCCAGGAAGTCACCCTCCATGACCTACTTCCTCCAGCTAGATCCTTTTAAAGTGTGTACTGTCTCTCCAAAGTAGCACTTCCAACTAGGTATACAAGTCCCTAATGTGGGATCATTTGGGAGAGATGCTTCACATTCAAGCTGGAACCATCTGGATGGTCCCTGGTCCTTGCAAGTGAAGCATTCATCCTCCAAGCATCCCCAGCTGAGGTTCCGCATGGAGCTCTATGCTGCTCAAGTCCTGACCCACAAAGTTGGTGACTAACAGAATGGCTTCCTGTGCCCCTAGGTTTGGGGTAGTTTGTTGTATATCAGCAGGAACTAGAACGGATGCCGAGTTACACACAGTCTCTGTGCCTGGCATTGGTACTTCTTCACAGTCTAGAGAGGAACTGGTGGGCACTTGAACTAGACCTTTACTGGGAAACGAAGTGAGGAGAGGGGCCCGACAGACAGAAAGATAGAAGGATCCTGCTCGGGTGGTTTCCAAAGACCAGGCTTAACTGAGACTGGCCCCTCAACACTGTCCACAGATGTACATCCCGAGTCCTCAGTCTGGGCTAAATTATGGGTGAGTTACACTCAAAGCAGACTTAGAGGAAGCCAGCCAGGGAAGCTGGGTCCCTAGTGCTAGGGAACCCTTCAAAACAAGTCGCTCTTGAAAATATCGTAGGAGGAAGTCACAGGAGGACCCGGAAGACATCTGGCCCCCTGCTCTGAGCCTGGGGCTGGCACATAGCCTGTCTGAGGTGGGGCTGGAGATGGGCAAACCAAAGATGGGCCCTACTCTCCTGGGGTTTGTTTGTTCCTCACCTAGACCATTCAGAGGGTGTGTGTGTGTGTGTGTGTGTGCGTGTGCGTGTGCGTGTGCGTGTGCGTGTGTGTGTGTGTGTGTGTGTGTGTGTGTGTGTTTGTGTGTGGTGTGGGGAGGTGGCTTCTTTGCCACTTTCTTGGTCCTTATAGCAAGGGACCCTGATGCTCATGGGAGCTCTCAGGAACAGTCCCTATACCAAGAAAACTGTGACTATAAGTATGACAGCAAGGAACACCGGGGCCTCATGATCTTGCTCTGAACCCTAAGTTTTCGCCCTGCCCCTCATGCTGGCTTTGGTCATAGCTTCTCCACATTCCACAAAAATAACATCGAAGGACTTGAGAGCTTAGGTTCTCCAGCCTAAGCCTGGAATTCTCTCAACCCAGACTCTGCTCAGGCCTGTCGTATTAGGAGGGAGAGCTGCCCATCCTCTAGGACCTGGGAGTGAGGTGAAGAGCCTGGTCTGACTTTTAGGCTTTCGGCCCCTCTTCTGTTCCTGTGGGTGTTTTGAAAAACTAGGTGGTTCGGGTGTGTGCTTAGGGCATGATGATGGTGCCTGATCCACACCAGGACCCCAGGAAGCAGGAGCTGGCTGTTCTTAGAGGAGGCACGAATATGAGAGGAGTCAGGAATCCAGCTGCGTGAGAATCTGTGTTTAGTTCCCTGCTGCCCTCTGTGGCCTTTGAGGGCGCCCCTTCGAACATCTTACCCTATCAGCAGCTACCGAGAAGGATCTAGCATCCAGTTTCCCCCATGTAGACCAGGCTATTAAAAAGGATAGCCTGAGGTCCTTGGCATAAGAATGGAGTGGCACACGTCACTAAGTGATGACCATGGGAGCGGTGGCTCTCGGTGATAAGGGTCAGGGCGAAAGCTCTTGCAACCATCCTCCATGTAGGGATTCTCTTCGTTACCAACTGGAGGTGGAGGACCTTTTTCCACTAAGGATCACAGCAGGTGCGAGGCAGAGATGTCATGGTAATAGGCCTGCAAGGTTGGAGGGTTAGAATGTGAGGCTTCCTGTCCCTTCAGCACCCCTAAGAAATGGTGATCCATCATGTCCAATAATGGAAGACCTGTAACCACATTCTGACTACCAGGAATATAGCTGGACCCACCCACCCCTCTTGGAAAAGTTGGCCTGTTTTCTCATTGATTTCTTGAAAGGCGAAAGGGTTCCATGGATTCTCTGGTGGTGGTATATTGTGCACCCTGATAAAATTTGCTTGAAGTTCAGAGGACAGAATAAGCCCCTAGATCAAACATAGATTTCAGGCAGTGGTGGCACACACCCTTTAATCCTAGTGCTCGGGAAGCAGAGATATATCTGGATCTCTGTGAGTTCAAAGCCACCCTGGACTACATGAGTTTGACTCAGTCTAGGAGAGAAAGAGTCAGGCAGTGGTGGCACACACCTTCAATCCCAGCACTAGAGATCTCATGCCTTTGCTTGGGAAGCACACACGCCTTTAATCCCAGCACTAGAGAAGTTGAGACAGAAAGCGATATGGCTGGGTGGAGAAAGGAATATAAGGCACGAGGAGACAGGAACTAGAAGGCTTTTCAGGATGACGAGTCCTAGAGGTAAGACGTGGCAGGGGCTTGGTTCCTTTGTCTCTCTGATCTTCAGGCAAATTTTATCAGGGTGCATGATATCCCACCACAGTTGCTGGGAGAACTGGTGTGGAGCTGTGTTATGACGCTGAAGCCGTTTTTCTTTTCTCTGGAGACTGGTCCTGCGGTCAGCCATGGGCTGCACAAGGAGAGAGAAGCTGACCTAATTAGCTATGCCCAGAGCTGCCTGGTGACTGTGGGGACAGAAGGAAGATCCTTTCGGAGCCCTCCAGGCCTGGGGCGTGGCTTCTGAACTGGACCAGGCATCTTGTGGACCCCAGGCACTCATGGAACATAGCTAGATCCAAAGTCCCACCCCTCTCGGGTCTGTCTTCTGAGCCACACAGAGTACCTGTCTGCTGTAGGGATGCTTGGGCACTGCTCTGGCCTGAGGGACCAATGCTTCATCTAGGTTGTGCGGTGGGAACTTCCGTTCCCCTCTGGAACGCTCTACAGGCTGCTCTGTGCAAAAGTGTTTAGGGCGATTTAGATAACAGGGTTTTGAGAGTCCACTGGGGATGCAGGAATGGGGCTACCCAGTGTGCTGAACGCTGCCCAGGCAATGTGACTAAAATGTCTCCCTCCAGGGCAGAGGGATGGCACCAGGTATGGCCCGAAGGGGAGTGGAATGGTGGTGTGTGTGTGGGGGGGGAGCATCACTCCCAGCATCGTATTCAAGTAGAGGGAACTTCTAAGCACAATTCTAGGGACACCTCCTGGAGGTAGGAGAAGCAGTCCCTGGGGCTGGGGACCACTCTGGGGACAGTGTTTATGGACCTCATGAATATTAGGGTCTCAACTATCTCCTCAGTATCCTGGAGGGCCTTAGATTCCATACTTGGGGAGGCTCCTGTCAGCCACAGAACGAAAGGAAGACTGGTAAACACTTCATCTGGAAAGGTAAGAAACGTTCACCCTCAAGGCCTAGAAGTCCATAACAAGGGGAGAGAAGGGCTTCTTCTAGGAGAGGCGGGGATGGGGGGAGAATGGAATTGTCTGTTTCTAGGCAAGATGGAGGACAAACCGATGTCCTGGGATGGTGGGGGTAGCACATCGAAGATGCACTTGGGAGAAGAAGAGATGAGACTGACCGTCAGTAGCGGCCCCCAGTCACCAGCTGGCTCAAAGACAGCCGTCCTCCAGAATGCAGAACTTGGGAGTTTAATCTGGTACTGGATTGGTGGAACCCTTACCCCGCCCTACGGGCACCCATCTCTCTAGCTCCAACTGCAAACAGGAGCCACGATCCATCCTGAGAGAAGGCTGGGCCTCTGCCCTGAGACCCAGCCCATCATCACCTTCTGACCTCCAACATCCTCCCTGGACATGAACATTCTGACCGTAACCATGGAAACTAGAGGGTGGCCATGGAGCAGTTGGAGGGCTGGTGAAGACACCTACATAATCACTTTCCCAGCAATGGCTCCTGTGTTCCGGGATCTGCTCTAGAAGGCTACGGCTGATGACCCATCAGAACACCGACCTCTGCTCCAGCTTCGTGCAAACGAGCAGATTTCTAGGTCCTTGACATCTTTCTCTGTAAGAGCGGAATATTAGCCAGGCAGTGGTGGCACACGCCTTTAATCCCACCCAGCACTTGGGAGGTGAAGACAGAGGCAGAGGCAGGTGGATCTCTGTGATTTCAAGGCCAGCCTGGTCTACAGAATAAGATCCAGGGTAACCAGGGCTACACAGAGAAACCTTGTCTTGAAAAACCAAAACCAAAACCAAACTAAAACACCAACTAACAACAACAACCACCACCACCCCCACACACAAACTGGACGTTAAGTTTTTTAAAAACATTTTAATAATTTTTGAATGAAAAACACTTGTGAAATGTGTCAGACTCTGCCTCGCCCCTGAACAGACCTGGAATTGCCCTGCGTGACCTCAGGTTGTTCTAAAGAACACTTTGCTGCCCCCAGATACTCAAACTCGGGCAGCCCTAGACTAGGTTCCCAGGAATCACCATGAAGGCTGAATGGCTTCCGCTCCAGGGTCTTTGGTTAGCTCCAAGAGTGATTTTCAGTGGCCTTCACAAGGAGTAGGCTAGAACAAGAAAGTCCCTGAGAAGAGGGGAGTTGGTAGGCAGAGCCTGGCAGTCTGTAATTCATATAGTCCAGCCCCCTTCCAATATAAACCAAGGTAGCAATGTGGTCAGGATCTGGAGCTATTGGGGACTCAGGTCTGGGAGCTATAGGCTCCAAGATCTATCTTTTTCTTTCCTCCTAACTGGTAGCAGCTTCGGCCTTTCTCTCTCAGAAGCTTGATGGGATCCAGGGCGCAAGCAAGGATGGCCCCTACCCAAGTGAAGGGGCCAGGAGTCCACAGTGCTACATTCTGCATGACAGGGCTTTGGCACTCTTGGTCTGGCTCCCATTGGCTGTGACAGTGGCATGATGAATGGGCATGAATCACACCCCGCTGACACAAGGGAGCATCTATGGCCAGTCTGAGTATCTAAAACCTAAGCATTTCCAGTCTAATTGGCAGTGATCACAGCCAACAGTTGCGGGAGGTACAAGTATCCTTAGCGACCTTTAGTCCATTGTGCGCATTCGGAGAGGGTGACGGAGGCCCAGGCAATGCAATGATTTGTCAAAGGTCAGAGCCACACCAGAGCCCTAGCAAGAGAGCAAGTGTGGGCCTGGCTGGGCCTTCTGTATCCCCCAACCCAGGGTCCAGGCCCCTTGGGTCCTCCAGGCAGGCAGCAGCTTCCGAGTTGCTTTCTCCTGCTGCTGTCCTGTGCATTTTAATTGCTTACACTTTCCCTTCTCATACCCTGGGGTAATTTTACAAAGGGCACAACTCTGACATTCAAACAAAGCACATACATTCTCAGGTCCTTTAAATCCCTTTGATTAGAGAGGGAAATAACAATTGCAAGAGAGGCGCACACACCATGCATAAAATTCATCTCGGCCATTCCAAACAGCCCCTGAGTTCCAAGGGGATCTTATCCATTTGAACCAGACCAAAAGAATCACCCTGCAGAGGGTCACATGCGGGCCTGAGATCACACAGCCGTCTGGCTGGTCTTTCTTGCTGTCTTGAAAGTCAGTAGTCTGGCTGCTTCTATCTGGAAGTGTTCACAGCACCCAGCACAGTGTAGCTGATTTTGAGAGAGAGAGAGAGAGAGAGAGAGAGAGAGAGAGAGAGAGAGAGAGCTCGCGAGCATGCACACGCGCAAAGGATTATGGGTGATGGGTGCAGTCAGGGACACAGTCCTTGTAAGCATATAGAGTGGCCATGGTGATGTGAATAAAAGGCAAGGAAAAGGGTCATAAGGTGGTCAGGACACTGACCACCTAGTGACCTGAGCAGGAAAGGCTAACAGACAGGCGTCAGACGGTGGGTTTACGGGACCTTGTTTTCTGGGGTGTGTGTGTGTGTGTGTGTGTGCAGAGAGTCAAGAGATGAAGGGGTCACAAAGGCCAGAGCTACCTCTGCCCTCTTCCACGCCTCGTGTGAATGACCACCTCTCAGGAGCCAGAAAGTCTGGAGCCAACAAAAAGGGAAGTGGTAGATGCGAGGGATGCTGAAAAACCCGATTCCCTCCCAGGAGAACCGCCCACCAGCAAGCCTCGGCATGCACAGCAGAGTCTCGGGGACACACTGTTCTCTTTGTTGGAGCAGAAATCTGTTCGGTGCTGATTATGCAGGCCGGTGAGTGGGCCTCTCTCGTTTTCCTCTCTAATCTGGAGTCCTACTCAGCAGGCACAATCGCAGGCAAGCGATCCTGGAAACAGAATAAGCTTTCTTGCCATCCATTGTTCTGGAGGCATTTAGTGCCTGCAAATTCCAGGTATAGAGGTATGCCACTGACTACATACTTCAGGGCCTCTGAGTCTCAGCCGGGGGACCTCACAACATGGGAAGAAGAACGTCCCTCTGACCTGCCTACAACAATGGGACCTGGATGCCCAGGAGCCTGCAGCAAAGGAAGACATTTGGTTCCAAGCATGCAGGTGATGTTTTAAAAGCTCTCACCACGCTACAAGGCATGCTCAAAACAAGCCAGTCACTGCTTCTGGTTTGGGGTGCTGGCCTCAAAGGCAGTGGATGGAAATATTCCTTTCCCTGATAGGGATGTATGCAACAGAGGTTGGCATAGATCTATGCAAGACTGAATAATATCCTTCAGATTTGGACATTTCTTTCCTTTGTATAAAAGTTATAAAAAGAACACTGTTTAGAGAAGTTTCAGGCCATCTGCCATGGTGAGGTAAGAGATGCCGCCAGGTCAGGGAACTTTCTGGATAAGAAGAGTAACATTTTTAAAGATTTAACAAATAGTCTTACTAGTTGGAAAAGGTAAGGCAAAAGTTTAGTAAATAAAAAAAAAGATCTAATTATTTAAACTCTTTTTTTGACCCAGGCCTTCAACCTCAACGTCAGCGACAGCACTGAGCAATGAATGAACGAAATGTGTTTGATGCAGAGAGGTGCCCTGGATGCTCACACTGCAGGACCACACTGTCTGTCCTCACCTTACAGAGTCTGCCAGTGCTGGGACAGCACGGTGCCTCTCAGCTGGGTTCCCTTCAACCTGCATGAGTCCCAACTACAGCCCCGGAGAAGCACACAGCCCATCGAGAAACAGAACCCAAGATCACCAGCTAGCCTGCTGCAGATGAAAGCTGGCTCCACGTGACCGCGCGGGCAGGCTCCAGGGACTTGTGGAATGAGTCTGCACTAACAGCCTCTCTGAGACTCAGAGTGACTCCTGTGTTCCAGATCCCCAAGCTGACCCAGTTCATCCTAATGCTGCCGCCCCCCCCCAAACTAGTGCAGGAAGCAATTTGAGCTCATCAAGATGCTCATCAGCTCCAGGCTGGGCCACCTCTGTTTCAGACAGCACGCCCAGACCCGGAGATGCTGTGTAGCAGACAGATGCTATTTCCACTTCTGTTCTCAGGGAAAAAGTGGCATAATCATGATTTATCAAAATATTCCAATCTCGAAAAGCATGTCAGAGTGCAACCTCACGCAATGAACTTGAAAAGGCTTTTTACTCCACGTGCGTGATTTGAGATCTGGATTTTCCCCCCCTTTCCAAATTGGTTTGAGGAGATAAGGCATTGGAGAAATTAAGTTTTTAAAAAATTATACTTCCGAACTTAAAATTTTTTAGAGCAAAAAATAAACCTAGATAACAACTTCCAAGATACCAAGTAGGTTTTTAAATCAGAAAAACTATGTTAAAGTGGTCCCCGAGTCACAGCTGTTGTCTAGCACATAAACATCATGTCATCACTGTTGGACATCTCTTCATCTTTCACTGGTGTGGAGCGTCAGGGAGAGAGAAGGACCAGGGGTCATAATTAGTGGTGTCTCTAAGCAGTGAAGACTTAGCTTTCGTGATGCTGATCCAAGTTGTCAGAAACACAAAGCTAGCGTGTAATACAACGCAACCAGGTGGAAGTGTAAATTCATAAGGCATAACACATAGGATGCACCGAAATAAGTAGAAACCACAGTAGCAAAATGTTCTTCATACGTTCCATAACTTAACCTGCCTCCCATCCTCTCTACCTTTTTTTCTGACTAGTTAAGAGTCCTTTAGATTTCCTCTAGACTTCAAAAGTCTGCTGCTTACCCCAAGTTTCTCTTCCATGAAGACCTGCTGGGCTCCTGTCTCTGGGCATCTTTATCTACCATGAATGTACCCGCCCTGTGTCCTTCCGAGCTGGTGTACTTTCAAGCACCACCTCTTTCCTTTCTCCTTCCCTGGCCATGCTAGGAAATGCTAGAAAGGGAAATGCTCAATCACTGATAACTCTTTGGTGGAAAGCTCATGGTCTACTTTTCAAGTGGGCAGCAACAAGGATTCACAGGTACAATAACATCATATAAAGCAAGACTCTTATAGGACTGAGTCCAGGACAATGCATTTGACCAATCAGTAGGCTAGCTTCCCTAGCCAAAGCCAACGTATCCTACTCATGTATTCTCTGATCCTCAGTCATGTAGAAGCAGCACATGGGAAAATACATCATAGCCACAGCAAGGTTGCTACACTGTTTTTTGCACCTTTCTAGGAAATGGCCAGGGTTCAGTAGAGCCAGGATCTCAAAGCCACCTTTGTCTTTCATGGGGTTGGGGATATACAAGTATTTCTCTGAGTCCTCACGGCCCGAAGATCTGTATCTTGCTGGATATGGTGACCCACACATAACCCCAGGATCTGGGAGTCTGAACAGCAAGCATGAGACGCCCACAAGTTTGAAACCTGCTTGGCCTATACAGTGAGACCTTGCCCAATTCCAAGGAGGTGGTGTGTGTAGTGTGTGTATGTGTACACATTGTAAGAGTGTACACACACACATCACACAAAATAACGTGTGTTCAGAAGACAATCTCAGGTGCCCATCCTTGGCTTCTGTCTTGTTTTGTTGTAGCATGGAAACAGGCTAGCAGACCCTTGAGCTTCTATGGAGTCTCACATCTTGACTTCTCATCTCCTCATTGGAGTTCTGGGATTATAGATGCGTGCTACTGTGCCCAGCTTTATGTGGATTCTGAGGACTGGCTTGTGCTGCAAGATCCTTACCCACGGAACCATTTCTTAGCCCTCCCAAGGAGTTGCGTTGCTCACATTGGATAATTCTGATTGCCCCCAGCCCAGGGCACATCACCAGACCATCCAGCTACAGCTGTTCGGTAACGCTGGAGTAAGAAAATCAACACCCAGCCTGGAAGTCTCAGTCTACACTGGCAGAGACAGGGCCTTGAGCAGAATGCTTGTCAAATGACTCCATTTTGCAAATTCTTCATGAGTGGTGGCCATGGGCCCTCTAAGTCCTTCCTAGTCACCCCAGGAAAGGGAGGAGGGGGAGGGGGCAACATTAAACACGCCACTGCCTAGCGAGCTGGGCCGTGAGAGATCCTGCTACCTACTGCCTGAACACACTGTGAGCCGCCAGGAACCAGATGGTAAGCTGGTGCACAGGCATGGCGTCGGCACGTGTACCACAAGATGCACGAACAATAAAGCCTTGCAAAAGGCTTTCCTTGGGCAGCTGCAGCAGAGGAAACAGTATGAGGCAGGACAGAAGGGTTTTCGGGAAAACCTGGCATGACCTCCTCAACTTGGCCACTGTATGCTGTGTATGCTGTGTCACTTTGAGTAACACAGAGTGACAAACCCAAAGATCTTCTGTCTCTAGTCTTTAGCCTCACTCGGGCCCTGCCTTGGGTCTTCTAGGGTGATTGTGCCTAACACAGCAGTCAGGAGCCAACGGGACTATTTCTTTTAAAATTAATTTAACTTAAGTGGCATTAGAAGTTCAGCTCCCCAGTCGTATGAGCCGCATCCAGAGTTTTCCGTAGCATTTTAGCAGCATGGTGTAGGACAGCTCCATCACTGCTGAAGATTATGGGCTGTGGAGAGATAGGTTCCAGAATGGTCCCAATTTTCTTAGCTTTGCAAAAAGCATGAGGAAATCTATGTGCTGGCTACCGCAGCATCAAGTTCTCTTTCCAGGTTCCTCCACAACCTTGTAGCTCTTTCGGCACCCCAGAGGAGGGGCTCCCCTTGGCCCCAAAAGCCTGAGGTAAACGTAGAGGTGGATGAAGGGAGTCCGAGATATCTGAGAAAGAGCTGCTTCTGCCCAAACTTCAGACTCTCTGATGTTCATTAAAATCCTTGCTAGATGCCTTAGTCACTGTTCTATTGCTATGAAGAGACACCACGACCAAGGCAACTCTTAGGAAAGAAAGCATCTAACTGGGGGACTTGCACACAGTTTCGGAGGGTTAGTGGTAGTTCGTTATCATCATGGCAGAGAGCATGACGACATGTATGCAGGCACTGGAGCAGTAGCTGAGAGCTACGCACACACACACACACACACACACACACACGTATATGTGTGTGTGTGTGTATATATATATATAGAGAGAGAGAGAGAGAGAGAGAGAGAGAGAGAGAAAACATCTGGGCCTGGCATGGGCTTTTAAAACCTCAAAGCGTATGACACACTTCTTCCAACAAGGCCACATCTACTCGAACAAGGCCATACCTCCTAATCCTAAACCTTTCACATAGTGCCAGTCCTTGACACTATTCAAATAATTAAGCACTCAAATAATGAGCCTATGGGGCCCATTCTTATTCAAATCACCACTCTAGATTTCTTAGCGATGACTTTTATATCCAGAATGTCAATTAACCCCTTCCTTAATATTTGAGGTTGAGAATTCATAGGCTCTTACTCCATGCTCACATGTAACTACTATATTGTGTACTGTAAATCTGCAAAGGACACAGATTGTTCAGTTCGTATCAGATACACAAAAGGGTACCTATGTATCATCCCATATCTGTCATCCATTAATTTGCTTGACTACAAGAACCATCTCACTATGCACAAGTATATAAAAACATATTGTGAATTTTACACTGGAAAGAAAAAGCCTAAGAGTCTAGCCTGAAATCTTAAGTTGGCCTTCCCTAGACCAAGCGGTCCCTAATACTACTCAGTCGATGTTCCATCCTTGGGCAACTTTATGGTGGCATAGGTTCCCACCCTTGACCACTTTGCGCTCCCAGCTCAGATGAACCCCATGTCCTGTGCACACTTTGACAGCTTTGGCCCAGCTACTCTTTTGGGATAGCTGAAAATTTCCTTCTTCCCCATGGGGCTCAAGGTTGTCTACCTTCAGGACCCAGTGGAAGACACTCCAGGGTGCAGGGACCTCCCCAGACACCCCAGTCCTCTGTGCCGGTCCCTCCTTGAAGTGTCTGCAGCACCTGCAGTTCCTGGCAGAGATGGGGGGGGTAAGTTCCCTATTTATTTTGTGAACTGCACCTACAGAAGGCTAATCTTGTGGGGGAGCCTCCTATACGCCTGTATACCCGAATTCTTTCAGGTCCATTCAAGCCCACGTGCCCAGGTAACTGCCCAGTCCTAGGAAACCCTGGATGCCTGTCCTGGCCCTGAAGTAGTGGAGATTCTGTACCGAGTAAGGGGAGGAGGAATGCAGGGAGGGTGGACCAAAGGGACAGTGTGCCAGAGAGGCAAAACATGGACAGACTGCCAGGGAGAAAAAAAGAGTGAGTCTCTTTCATCCTGTGTTCAAGTGATCACCGCTGCCAAGAAAGAAATCAGCTCAGCCAAGATACCCAAGGCCTGAAGGGAGCCAGGATTTCCTACCAAGAGAAACAGTACTGGGCAGGAGTGACTATGATTGGACATTAAGTCATTTGAAAGGGCTTGCGGTTTAATCCCCACCCCCCCCACCATATGAGAAACTCGTGACTCTTATATGGTTACAGAATAAATATAAACGTGACTTCCTCTTCCCAATTTACAGGGCTGACTTCACGTGCTTCCTCGGCATTTCTGACGGTCAACCATTCTCCTCGATGCTGGAGTGTTGGGAGGGTCAGAGCCTCACCTGCCCCACTCCCTGATCTGTTTGTAGGGCTCGGTAGGTATTAGAGACACTCTGAGAGAAGCACAACAGTGCACGGAGTGGGTGCAGGAGCAAACGCCCACTTGTCTGTGTTCGGCCAATACTGCCAGGGAGGCCAGGCATGAGAAAAAGCTATGAACAGCACATCACAGAGAGCTCCCTGGCCTGACCCCCTACAGCAGCACAGCCCCCTCCCTTCAGCTTTGGAGACCCTCTGAGGCCTCACATCTTAAAAGTATGCGGGGAGGTCACTGCCATACTCTGGGAAGGGAGCTGGTGCATGGCCTCCTCATGGGCAGAGAGCCGGGCCATTTCTGCGTGCCCC